ATATGTGTATTTGATATCCTCTCACCCAACCTTCCAGAAGTACTGGAGAGCAAGGTCTATATTGTAGTCCTTCAATCTTTTAATAGTTCACCCTTCTAAGGATTTAAAAGACTTAAGTATAATAACAAATAACAAATAAAACACAACTCTAAATCATGCAATAATTATGTCCATAAATTTTTAAATATCCAAACTTATTCATAAATCTGACAAAAAATGCTGCATTGCCACCATCATACAATAATTATCTTTCCTGAACATTTACAGCATCATTGTAGGGGTAAAGTTTTGAGGGAGAAGGTTTTGTTACACAAAATAATAGGTATATATATATATCTTATTAAGACAAAGAAAAAAGAAAAACAAAGAGAGAGAGAGGGGGTGGATGTGTGTGTGTGAGCAAGAGAGAGAAAGTGAGATTGAGTGAGTGAGAGTGAGAGTGAGAGTGAGAGAGTGTGTGTGTGAGAGAGAGAGTGTGTGAGAGAGAGAGTGTGTGTGTGTGTGTGTGTGTGTGTGTGTGTGTGTGTGTGTGTGTGTGTGTGTGTGTGTGTGTGTGTGTGTGTGTGTGTGTGTGTGAGAAAGAAAGAAAGAAAGAGAGAAAAAGTGAGAGAGAGAGAGAGAGAGAGAGAGAGAGAGAGAGAGAGAGAGAGAGAGAGAGAGAGAGAGAGAGAGAGAGAGAGAGAGAGAGAGAGAGAGAGAGAAAGAAAGAGAAAGAAAGAGAAAGAAAGAGAAAGAAAGAGAAAGAAAGAGAAAGAAAGAGAAAGAAAGAGAGAGAAAGAGAAAGAAAGAGAAAGAAAGAAATAGAGAGAAAAAGAGAGAAAAAGGGAGAGAAAGAGAGAAAAAGAAAAAGAGAGAGAAAAAGAAAAAGAGAGAGAAAAAGAAAAAGAAAAAGAGAGGAAGAGAGAAAAAGAGAGAAAGAAAGAAAAAGAGAGAGAAAAAGAAAAAGAGAGGAAGAGAGAAAAAGAGAGGAAGAGAGAAAAAGAGAGGAAGAGAGAAAAAGAGAGAAAGAAAGAAAAAGAGAAAGAAAGAAAAAGAGAGAAAGAAAGAAAAAGAGAGAAAGAAAGAAAAAGAGAGAAAGAAAGAAAAAGAGAGAAAGAAAGAAAAAGAGAGAAAGAAAGAAAAAGAGAGAAAGAAAGAAAAAGAGAGAAAGAAAGAAAAAGAGAGAAAGAAAGAAAAAGAGAGAAAGAAAGAAAAAGAGAGAAAGAAAGAAAAAGAGAGAAAGAAGAAAAAGAGAGAAAGAAAGAAAAAGAGAGAAAGAAGAAAAAGAGAGAAAGAAAGAAAAAGAGAGAAAGAAAGAAAAGAGAGAGAAAGAAAGAAAAAGAGAGAAAGAAAGAAAAAGAGAGAAAGAAAGAAAAAGAGAGAAAGAAAGAAAAAGAGAGAAAGAAAGAAAAAGAGAGAAAGAAAGAAAAAGAGAGAAAGAAAGAAAAAGAGAGAAAGAAAGAAAAAGAGAGAAAGAAAGAAAAAGAGAGAAAGAAAGAAAAAGAGAGAAAGACAGAGAGAGAGAGAGAGAGAGAGAGAGAGAGAGAGGAGAGAGAGAGAGAGAGAGAGAGAGAGAGAGAGAGAGAGAGAGAGAGAGAGAGAGAGAGAGAGAGAGAGAGAGTAAGTAAGTGAGTGAGTGAGTGAGTGAGTGAGTGAGTGAGTGAGTGAGTGAGTGAGTGAGTGAGTGAGTGAGTGAGTGAGTGAGTGTGAGGGAGGGGGTGCATCTGTGTGCATGTGTGTTACTCCCAAGAATGATTATATTCTCTCAAAATCATCAGTCAAACTGGATACTAGAGGAATTCATGAACACAGAACAAATCAATCCCATCATGCCTAAAAGAGTATCAATATTAATAAAACAAATAAAGAGCGAAGATCCACCCATTAACTCTTTTACTGTGAATGTGAACAGACCTGCAGATTAACATTCTCATTCTTGTATTTCTGGAAAACAAGATAAAGAAATAAACAATACAGATTTTTTAAAACCCCCCTCTAAAATTCTTGATACTCCATGGCAGGAAAGAGTGGCTAAAACAAGAGAATGTAAAGAAAGAAAAGGAAAACGGAAAGGAACTTACTTACGACCTATGAAACTACAAGATGCGAAACCCAAAGAGATAAATAAAGGTATTGTCTGGGAAATTTATGTCGAAAAGAGTTAGCGCTTGAGAGGAAAAATAAAAAAGTGTGAGACATATCCAGCATCTATGTAAGTGATAATTTTAGATAAAAAAAAAATAATAATAAATAAACAAAAAATCAAATTAAGTGTCCATAATACATGCATGCATACATATATATACACAATCATTAACTTTTCACAGCACAATATTACATCTGAACATGACTATATGACTAAAAATATACATCAAAACATTTAAACCCAATCTTTCAAAATTACAGCCTTTATTTCTAATGCCAATAAATTCAATAGCACAGCTGCATGGCAGTCACATCATAAAAATAACTGAGGAACAATACAACAGAATCCTTAATTACCAAGACAGGGGACACAATTCACTGGTTGTCCATGCAGTATGAACACAGCACCCCTTGCCATCACCAGCAGAATAACAACTTAGCAAGATACTGAAATGGGCAAGAGATCACACAGAACTGAATATTAACATTTGTATATGCTTGTTATTCTGAGGCCTGCTGCATTTTTGACCTGCGATGTTTATAGAATTTCACATATCCTTCCACTAAGCCACGCATCTTTACTGCTTCAATAATATCACCGCATTCTGCACTAACAACCTGAAAGGAATACACCAAATTAATCTGTTACCTTTATCAGGAGAACAAAATCATATTTAATACATTATGGACAAATAAAAAACATGTAACAATGTTTATGAAATACCTGGAAGGAACACAAACCAGATATTAACACACACACACAAAAAGAAATTGTCTGTAACCATACAAATCATTTTCAAAGAAGAACATTAAAACGCACACAGCTAGACCACTAATTCAGTAACTAAAACAAATTATAATGCAAAATACGTAGGCACTAAATGGACATGAGCAATACAGTGACCAAGACTGACCTTATTCACACACTTGGCGACAATCTCTTTGTACTCAACCTTGGTGACGGATTTATCTCGGTAATATGGATCTAGGAACTTCTTCACCTCCTTGACTACCTTCACCTCCAATGCTGCTTTTTGTTGCTATTTAAGGAGAGAGAACAAAAGAAAGGAAGAGAGAAAAAAGAAAAGTGAATACCCCTTTCAACATATTTTCTAAACATTGTGATAAGTAAGACATCAAATCAATGTGTATTTATCCCAATAGAATGACAGAATAGAACAAATATGGACTAAATATAGACATTCTCAACCTCCCTTCAAAATCCTAACAAACTGATATTCATTGTACTACGATGATTATAACAATTATTATAGTAATAATGATAACAAAATAGTAATAGTCAAAACAATAACATTAATAATGACAATAATGATAATGACAGTGATAAATATTGCTAATAACAATAACAGTCATAGTAATAATAATACCAACAATAACATGACAGTAATGATAATGTAAAAAAAAAAAAAAAGAATAAATAAAAATAATAATATATAATATAATATAAACAACAACAATAATAATATCAACAAAGGTAATAAAGTTCCAAACCTTTATTTTCAAGTCATTCTCCTTTCTGTTACTGCTTGACACTGATGCCTCTTGGCTGGAAGACGACTGAGCCATCTTACTTCCCTCGACCTTTTTCTCCTTTATCAAGCATTCCTTTTCTTGAGCTGATGAGAAAAAAGATTATTCCATAATATTAACCAATCAATTAATCAATGGGGGTAATTCAAAGCAGGGCATATCCAATCACAAGGGACCCTCTATGAGACACCAGGTTATCCAGCCCATTGCGGCTTCCTCACAACAAATTTCACGGTCTCTTCAGACGAGCAGGATAAATGTCTTTGTGTTCAACCATGTGGCATATAGCCTCAGACTGCAGTCAGATTACAGAAAAAAAATCTTAAGCTGCATTCAGTGCAGACAATGGTTGGCTACATGGTCCAAGCCAACTGTATTCTGCAATCCAGCATAACAAACTACTACAAAAGGCATCAAAATTATTAAAAGATGCTAGATCATGTCCAGGTAATGAAAATCCAGCAATATCAGGACTGTGAAGATGTGAAGCTTGGTCCTACTGAATAGGAACTCATAGCTCCAAATATTCCAATTAAGAGAGTTCACAATTCCTGCTAAGAGGCCAGTATGTCTGCTGTCTTCTTACAGCCAGTCATGAGCTACATTACCAAGATATGTTGTGGGATGGATGATTTTAGTGTCTATGATTAAGGAGTTTTCTTAGTAGATCACCTTCAGTTATGAATTCTACTTTTGGTCCATGAGGCCTCTAAATACTGGGGTTTTGCCTTACTGCTAAATGAATCAAGAGTTGTGACTAAGGTTTCTAGAGACTCAACAAGACAGCAATATCATTGGTAAGGGTTAGTGATCCAGTGTTGCCTAATAGTGCCTGAATGATAGCTTTACCTGGCATTCAGTCCATGCAAGTGTTGAAAAGTGTTAGAGGACACATCCATGCCTTACTCCAAATTTACAGAACTGAAGCTACACATACCTTACCACACTCTGCAGAACTTTCACTATGAGTATATGTATTTCTATATATTTCTCTTAGTCCAGTGATCTTTGCCTGGGTTCCTTTCAGTCTCAGGATCTCCCAGAGTTATTTACAATGCACAGTGAAATTCCTACTTGAGATTGATGTAGGCTGTTAATACCAAGATCATCCTACAATGACTCAAAACATAACAATACAGCTTGTTGGATTTGTTAGGAATGAATTTGAATCCCCCTGAACTTTGGTGGCTCAAAAGATGGTTTCTGATACATCTAAAAAGGATGTGAGCAAGCAGAGTGTAATGCTAGATCATTGCTGCAGCCCCAGTCATTCCCTTTCCTCTTCCAGAGGGATGAACACAAGCTTCAAACAGTTCCAGAGGAATGGAACTGAGACTGTCAGATGGCAACCAGGATAGTATGCAATCTTGAGCCATAGGTTCACCACCTTCAGCATATCAAGAGAGGTGATGCAAATACACTTAGCCTTACCATCTTTTAGCCTAAAGATCAGCTCCCTGACCTCAAGTCAGATTAAAAGATTCCTTGCTGATGAGAGATCAGACACTCAAATATGCCACCATCCACTTTCATGCTACCTGCTGGCAGATTACCCTGAAACTGCTCAAAATGCTTGGCCCCACATCAACAAGTCATACCAGAATCTAAAATCTGCAATCACTTTGACAATCACAAGACTCTGAAGTAAATCTAGAGAGTAGCTACAGCCAGACTGTGATCCACACCACATAATTGGGTTCTTGTAAATCCAGTAGCTCTGGAGGTTCTTTAAATGAGTGCAAAAAAAGTCAGTCAATCTCCTTAGCTACACTACTGGCATCACTGTACCAGGTACAGCAAAGCAGAAGAAAGTGCTGGTACCAGGAATAAGCAATCCATAATATCTGGAAATAGCATGTTTTTGCCACTGGTATCAGCTCCTGAAAGTGAGCTTTGACAAACCCTGTATGAATTAGCCATAGATAAAATAGGAACTAGAATCTTCTCAAGAATAGGTCATAGAGATCAAAAGTTTCAGGTGAGGATCCAGTTATAATCAACAGTCTGTAATATAGAATGATTTTTTTTGTTTCTTTTTTTACCCTACTCACAACAGGATCTCAGAGTGTTGTACTGAGCCATACCCTAGGCAGCATACAATCAGTTGCTTCAGAGAAAATAAGTTATGGTACATATGAGACTATGAGGAAAAGAAGTAATAAAAAAAAAAAAAAAAAAGCTTTAAGCCTACTTCTGAGGAGTTTTTTTCACATTACAGACCACAGCCAGGGCAAAACAAGTGAACAATTGTGTAGCACACACAACTTAGAACTCAACCAAACAAGACATCCAAGCACATGTGACAGGCTAGCCATGACATGATAAGACATCAACCACAATAATACACAGCAAAAAGCAGTAATACACATTTTTTTTTTTTTTTTTTTAGAAATCTAATATATAAAACAAAACAATCAAAAAGTATTTAATTACCTTCTTTCTTAGTCTCTTCAGGTTTCTTTGTCATCTCTTGTTTTCCATTTGAAGGATGCTTATTATCTTTGTCCTTCTTGTGTTCCTTTTTAACATTTTCATTACTGGTTTGATGCTTTGAATGTTCCTGCACATGTTTATGGTGGGTTTTCTCTCTTTCTCCTTGTTTGGAAATTTTTGACTCTGGGGTTTCACCTGTGGCTTTCCCAAAGTTTTTCACAATCCTGTCCACAATGGCTTCTTGGCGAGATGGTTTTTTAATATCGATATCTGAGGAATCTTCCATGTCACTTATATTCCCAAACAGACATGACATGACTTTTGGGTCCTTCTTGTGGGGTGCTTTTTCACCTTTCCAGGAGTCTTCCCTCTTGTGCTTCTCCTCAGTTTTGGATGCACTGGGTATCAATGCCTTTGTACTTGATTTATGGCCTGTTGCCAATTTTTTTGCCTCTGTCTTGGCATTTTCTCCATCCTTCTCTATTTTACTACTACTTTTCTTAATATCATGACTAGCTAGGCTCTTTTTATCCTTCCCCACATCATGAGAGAGATGGAAACTGTTGTCCTCCTCTTCCATGTCCTCAAATCTATCAACCGGAGCTGTTTTGCCAAAGAGGCCTTTCGCCAGGCCTGCCATAAATCTCTCCTTCAGCTCCTTCTCCTTGTCATTTTGCGTCCCATTGCTGACATCAGACTTTTTCTTGATTATGAATCCCTTTGACACAGGGATCCCTTCCTTCTTCGGTTTGCTGTGCTCCTTGGAGACTTTGGTGTCACTTATATCATGGTCGTCTGAAAATAAACTGATGCTCTTCAGCTGCTTCCCACTCTTCCTATTGTCTCCCTCTTTCTCTTTCAACCCATTCTTGGTATTTGATTGTCTGTTAGTGTCAGACTGACCAGACTCCTCTTTACTTACTTTGTCCTTTACACTCTCTCTTTTTGATTTTGATTGCAGCACTTGATTCGGAGAATGACTAGCTTTTTTCTGTACTTCTTTCTCATCCTCAGTATCTGAACCAAAAAGATCTCGGTTTGAGATATTGTTATCTGTACTTTCTGCTTCTTCTTTTGGTTTGTGTTTTGAGGAATTCTTTTTCTTATCTTTACTTGCACTGCTTCCTCTCTCTTCTTTTGTAATCTCTGAGTTTTTGTGAACTGAGTCTTGATTCTGCTTATCATCTACATCCTCTCCAAATAAAGAACTAAACAGTCTGATTTTCTTTTTCTTGTGATTCCCTGATCTATCTTCTTCCTCACCTTCTTTGTTTACATTATTCCAAATATCTTTTTTCCAGCTCTCTCCTTTGTTTTTAACCTGATCCAGTTGGTGGTTGGTGACTTCTTCTTGAAGCAGTTGTTTTGATGTGCTCTGTTCACTAACATGTA